ATATATATGTATATAACTTTATATTATAATATATTATATGTGTGTATGTGTGTTTGTAAGTGTGAACGTATGCAAATTACCAGGTATATTATCATCATCTCTATTATCAGCATCATCATTATGATATTGTCATTAATCAATTTAAGTATTATGACAGAGAACAACTACGGATTATGAGGTGTCAGGGTGAAGAACAACCAGAGAAACGCCACACTACGTCGCTATTGGCGTGTACTTTTGTCCACTATGATAATGGACATCTTTAGGTCACGAAGGTGCTGCCTTGGGAGCTTGTAACCCTCCCCCCCCTCCAACAAACGCACACACACACACACACACACACACACACACACACGCGCGCGCGCGCGCGCGCGCGCACACACACACATAAACACACACACCTTTTTTGTTTCACTGTATGCGAAAGTCAATTCGTGGAATTAAAATAACAACTTCCAAAACAATATTCACTTGGCAAACTGGAGCTAAGCTCTCAAGACAGTTGGTTATGAAAATCAGCTTGAACTTGAAACAAAGATCCTGGTCGCAGACAGTGGCTCATCCCATCGTGGTTTACAGAGTTCCTCTCGTCTGAAGTTGACATCATGTATCCGTCATGTGCATGTGTGTAACGGATTGTAGAACCGCTATTCACCCAAGGCTTTTGGCTTATAAATGAGTGAAGGCCGAGACTGAGTCAAATGCCAAACTGTTTTAATTACCAAAATGATTTAGCTTCATTCGTGATTAAGTTGTTGATGCAACCTTGACCATCAATACTTTATTTATAGAGGCACCAGCCATCCATGTTCAGGTGATGTTTTAGCCATTGTTGATGCAAGTCAGTCAAGCACACACAAAATGCAGAACGAGAAAAAAAGCATCCTGCTCCTTATGTAGCCGTGTCTTAATCAACAATAATGTTTACTTTTCCAGTCTTCTCAGAACAGCAGTAGTAAGGTGCAAAGGTGTGAACCTATCGTCAATTCGACAGAAAAATAAGAATTATGTTCAATGCTTAGTATGTTGTTGATGCAGTTGTTGTTGTTATTGTTGTTGCTGCTGCTGTTGCTGCTGTTGCTGCTGTTGCTGCTGTTGCTGCTGTTGCTGCTGTAGTGGTTGTTGTTGCTGTTGTTGTTGTTTGAGTTGTTGCAACTATTTTTGTGCGTGTACGTAGAAACCACTGCTTATATGATAGTATTAAATTAAGTATTTATCTCCCTATGATTGAATCATTGGGGCTACAAGTCCAAATATTATGTGTAATACCAGCATGCATAATCATAATAAAAAAAGACCCACCGACAGGCTGAATAATTCCCCGTGCAGGCTGAGCTCACCACGAGACAAAAACGTAGTGTTGAGTTCCAGAGTTGCAGAAAGTGGCACACACCACTATCTCGTCTTCCCAGGCACCGGTGGGCGGTGGGTAGGGTGGTTCCAGCGCCACAACTTTTATACGCCTAGCGTGGCTCGGAGCGGTTTGAATTTGTTGGAGGGAAAGCCTAAAAATCATATCTATGTTAACCCTTTCATAGCGCTTTGGATAACGCGATGCATAGGTCTCTATACGGATATCGGCAAATGCGTTTCGGTTTTGGTTTTTTTCAACCCTGCACTCGTCTGCTCATAATTGCTGTATGCAGTTTAGTGCAGTGTTGATCCTTGATGCACAGTTTCCATCTTCTGCTGCTCTGACAGTAAAACAAAAACATTCGTTGTTTGGGTAGGCTGTTACAGAGCCCTCGTGTGCTGCTGATCTCTTCCAGAAAATTCCTTGAGCGCTGGGAATTCTTAGATCCAGGTTGTTAGGGTTTTTTGCAAATTTTGACTTTGGTATATAGATACAAAAACTTTGTTCCTTTGCGCAACTAGACTAGTGTCAGCCGTTTTGTGAAAGGTAATGCGAAAGGGGAAAAAAGAAGGAGTGCGTTAGGAACTCACGTGGTTACTTTTAAACAGAAAAAAAAACCCAAAGTGCCATAACTTGACAGCAAATGTCCTGTATTTTTTTATAACTTGCTCTTCTGGCTAGTTTTTAGGCTCCTCTTAAAAATAAAAGAACAAGATTTTCAGACAGATTAAAAAGCTTCCTAAGAAATCTTACGTACAGCCACACAGTTTCGTCTATGACAAAGTATTATTTTTATCAGTAATAATCTATTTGTAGATGCATTAGTTATCAATGTTTATTTTATGTTGTTTTTCCCAGTACCGGGTATTATGATACTGCAACGACAGAGAGCTGAATGCTTGCACAGACCATCGAGAAGTTGAACAAGAATTCTTCCCGTATAATCGAGAGCCTAATAACTATATTGTTAAAACAAAATTTGATCATTTGTCTGCCACAACAGCCTATGTGGTTACTAGTGATCCTTACCAATTTGACACAGACATAAATGGTCGAGGTTCGAATCCAAATCAGTTTTGATCCTATTTTCTTGGAAAGCATACATTGTACACCTTCCTTTCAACCGGTGGTTCCGCTGTCTGTGGTATAACGGCTTTGTACCGTTCACCAAAGGTTCGATTTTTATGCAGTAAGAGTTTAACTTTCACAAGCAAGGCTGAAACAGTCTGCTCCACGAGTGGTCTATATGGTGTCGAAGAGGGCAGGAAAAGCCTACAAGAACGAGAGCCCGGAGTCTTGTAGGAGAACCAGGTTTGATAGGTACCTCTGTTCTCGAAACGAGCAGTTCTAAAAGTGGTTTGATTTAACGCCTCTGTCAACACTATTGGGTTATTTAAAAGGCGGGGTCTCCGAATTTAACGTCCAACTCTGAAAAGACCGAGCCAAATGGGAATTTCGTGTGATATGCCTTTCCCAAGGACACATCGTCGGACTGAGCTGAAGCTCGAAACCCCGAACTCGCAACTTCACGGTTACGAGTCCGGTAGAACAGGAACGTCAACAAGGAAAAAAAACTACTATGACGACGACATTGTAAGTATCAGAGTGCAGAGACCAGGAATTGAATGGCTGGTCGTCGATTGGGAGGGGGAGGGGGTAGAAGAATTTTAAAAGATATAGGCGCCGAGTGAGCTGAATGTTACAAGCAGCACAAATGACTGTATTTAAAAGGAAATCAAAGCTGAAAAGCTCTTGCATTTTGATTACTTTGCTGAAACAATGTAATCTCTCTCTCTCTCTCTCTCTCTCTCTCTCTCTCTCTCTCTCTCTCTCTCTCTCGCTCTCTCTTTCTCTCTATCTCTATCTCTTCTAAGCACAATGGAGAATTATAGTTCCTTTTTCTTCTGAAATGATACACACATTGTGTTGCTCGTGTGAATATAGCTTCTCTGATTCTGCCGTTGCCGCTCTAATGTTCCTCTTGCCTTTGTTTCTGATTTTGTTTTCAAAATCCTTAAGTTTTGGGTTCTTATTTTGACTTGATTGAGACTGCAGCAACGAGAGTGTTAATAATGCCGGTACAACGGCGGCGAGTGCTCCTGATCCTATCGCACAGGTTTACGCCACAGCGCTGCCCCGGTGGTTGAGCTCTGCTCACTCTAACCTATATCCTGAAATTCACTTCAGTGCCATGGAAGCCAGTCGAGTACAGCGTAGTCACTTATCGCTTTCTTTGCAAGTCAGATGCTGAGTGTAATGAACACCAAATACCCGACACAAGTCACGAAAAGATAAAAACATTGTGTAATCA